CAGGGAGGGGGCTAGGACTTGCCTGGGCGCCGCTCTGCGTGCGAGGCTGCAACGGCTTTTCCGCGTCTGCCTGGGCCCACCTAGCGCCGCGGCGTCTGCCAGCCCCAGCCTAGGTCTCCTCCATACTCGTGCCAAACCTGCTCCTGTCGCCTCATCCTTCTCCAGCTGGCCCCAGGCCCTGGCCATTTTCAGCTCACAAAGGGACCCTGCGGGGTCTCCAACAGCCTCCACTTGTTCATAACCTCCCGCACTTTTTTTTAATCTCAGTGCTGTGCCGCAGCGCCTGGCAGCTTCTTTTTGAACACCCGTCCCTGCGAGCTAGAGGGATTTAGCTCCTGTCACACGTCAGCATTTGCTTTGCCTTGTTTTTGGCAAAGTCTCTGTTTTGCTCTGTGGGGTTGAAGCACTGAATGCAACAGCATCTTGCTTTTTGTCTGTGGTCCTGTTTCTCCACAGGAAAAAAGGCCGTACAGAATTGCCAAGCAATGCCTGTGTATAAGTGGGGGAAAGTCCTCCAATAAAACATCATTTGCGCCAGTCCCTCCCTAGAAGTTGGGGGCATTGCTCAAGGGTATCAGAGCTGCTTGCAGGTGCAGTCCAGGCACTGGAAATACCTACAATTTCTTGGCCTGCTGCAAAGCATCCTTTGGAGTCTGACCCAAGGCCTCATCAGTGGTGACCTTAGGGTTGTTGGGGCCCTGGACAAGAGTTATTTGGGGCCCCTTAGAGACGCAATTTTGATGGCCCTATAAGCAAGTCAGACATTTTCAATTTCACTTTGCCCTGTCCATGCAATTGCAGTAAAAGTATCTTAAAACAATATTGATAATACAAGTATTAATTACAATATTACAATAAATATTGCAAAATACAATAAATTAATGTAATTCATTTTTATCTGTATAAAATGCGGGCCCCAGGCGGTCACCCAGTTTTCCCTCCCCTAAAGCCACTACTGGCCACATGGAGTGCTGGGTGGGGGGACACAAACCCTTGAAGCATTAGTAAATGTAGATGATTCAGAGTCATTGTCATAACTTCCTGAAAGTCTTTGTGCAACACCAGAGAGATTAAAACAGAAAATGAACCCAAATTTCCTGAGTTCTGCACCACCAATTTGACCACAAGATAATAATCCTCTGAGTCACTTTCAACCACTGAGCATTAGGACTTACTCTATATGTTCCCCTGTTTAGTCAGTAATATACCTTAACTGCTTCCACTAAAACATCCATAGTATCCTCTCCAAAACTAGGATTTTTGGTCATGTATCAACACCTAGAATCTTGTCAAGTTTCTGTCCTTTAAGTCAGTGGGACTTCATAGGATGGAGCAATGCTTCTACTTAAAAAGAGCTGTAAGACGGTGTCAGGAGAGAGATAGCAAGCATCCTCTTACATACCTATTCTGAAATTTCTGCAGACAGCTTTTCCTCCTGGTATGTAATGCTCACTCTCCATTCAGGATCCTGTATGGTGGCCTATGTACTGGCTAAGTCACACCTAGTCACCTGCAATGCTTTTTCAAAGATCACAGTACCAACTTCATCTCTTCATTCCTGCCCTGCATCAGAAATTGCCATATGTCTTAGTGTGATGGAGTTTTTTTTAAATGTTTCAATTAGTGGTTGTTTTTTTTTCCTACTTCTTTAAGAACCTTTACTGTTCCAAACCTCCTCACTATCTCCAGAAGTCATCACCCTATCTGATTACCAAAGAGAAGGGCACGGTTGATTTAACCCTGTTCTTAAGAGTTTGATCACTAATTCAGAATGCAAAGTCATTGGGATGCCTGGTAATAATTGAAAAAGGTTCTTAGAGCAGCCAATTCTAAACTCTGACCAAAGCTTTGTTGTTCTGCTGTTGGTGGTTTTATCAATTTCAGTCAATTTAGTGGCCACAGGGTGACAGTACCTACTATTTGATTTTGGATTGTAAACAAAACCCCCAGGTTTTTTCTTTTTCTTTATTTACTTAAAAATATGACACCCCTTTTCCCCATCATTTCTGCCTTTTTCTCTCCCCTCCTCTATTCCCTATAGGTGTGTGTGTGTGTGTGTGTGTGTGTGTATGTACATATATATATATATATATATATATATACACATGAGTAGTTATAAGTTAAGTTGAAACCCTGTGTACGTAAGTCCCCTTTTATAGTAACCATGAGCTATTGTAATAGTGCTTTACTGTGTGTGTTGGATTACTATAATGTATTATACCGTATGGTTATTGTGTCTTAAGCGTCTCTTAGTTAATACTGTATGGTTTAGGCCTGTGTCTGTAAAGTAATGTCAAGTAATGTCAAGTTTCCATCTTCTACTGTCAAGCCTCCATCTTGTGTCCCCTGATGTTGTAACCTATGACTCATACCTACCCCTCCTATGTAAATCAGTTCCTGGATGAATGGGGATAATACGGGTGCTTGAGAGATAATGGCAATAGGTCTAAAAATAAATGAATGACTGAACCATCAACTCCACAGTGCAAGCATCACTCTGCATTGACCCTCCCTGGCTCAAGATTTGAAAGACAAAGACTGCTGCAGATCCCACCCAAGACACCATTACAGACACCTGAAACTGCATGTCCTGACCTAGAATGCACATGCTCAGTCCACCAGGGGCTGGCCCCTGCCTGGGCAGGCCCCCTGCCACTGGGGTTATGGAAGGTCTTCCCCTATAAAAGGGGGCAGTGAAGATAGACCCAGTGGGAACACCATTTTCCATCCGGACCAGTCCACATCATGCCGCCTATCCACCCTAGAGGCCCTGCCGGCAACTGGACAACACCAAGCTGAAGGAGACCCCGACTGGCCATTGAGGATCAACCTTCAGCCTGGGATAGTTAGATATGACCCTCACACTTCCTCCTACAACTTGGACTCTCTCTCTCCTCCTGGACTTCAGCCCCTGCACCAAGACTCTTTAACCCCTATTGCCATTGTGTGTTGTTACGTCTCAGCTCTGTGTTCTTGGGCAACCCTGGCACACGACACAGCCTGTCTGACTCACAAAGGACTCACCCCTCCTCCCCTCCTCTACATAAACAAAACTGATTAAGATGCAGTGAGACATACACCTAAGACCCTCCAGATAAGGGTGACAAGAGTGAAACAACTGCCTTAGGTCCCATTTGCATCTGAGATGGAACCAGATGACCATTCATTTACATGAGAGATGGAAAACAGAAAGCCTGAAGCAGAGACTACAGTGAATTCTGGGATCAGAGAAGCAGGGGAGCACTGCATGATGGGGAATCTGTGTTCCAAATGCTAATCAACCCATGTTCACACACACCCAGCTCAGCATTTATCAGACCAGTTCTAATCTGGATTTACAAAGGACTTCCCCCCCCCAGACATGCACACATCTCTAAGTTTAATAGGCATCTCGGGCCGTACATTCCCCGGTCCCACTATGGGAGGCCTATTTAAACTTGATTGACTAAAACTCAGTTGCCAGGTTAGGGAATGCTGGCAAGAGACCGAGTCAGAGGGGGTATGGGCAACATTTGAACAATGGTAAAGGGGTTCATCACAGCGTCCAGCCCGTTGGAGCCCTAACCACAGGTGTTGTCATACTTTTCCCGGGATGACTGGTGGGAGTCCTCCTGCCCAAAGGTTATAAACACCCCAATAATTGTCTTAAGTCTGTTAAAAGACCATAGTAAGTTCTAGAAAAGTCATGTTAAGCTGAGGCTTGTTCACAACAAGTAAAAATCAAAAATCCTGATGCTGCAAGCTATCTATTGTTTCTGAAGAAACCATGAGATATCCCATCAGTATATCTGCTATCCTTAGGAATTTCAAGCTGGATCCCAAGTATCTGCTTACTCCCTAACCTTATGTGTTTCCTGATTATCAATCAGTTTCTTGAGATGTTCCAAACCAGATAACCCCTTGTCAATAGAAAAGACAATGATTTACATTGTTGAGAATGCTTCAAAACAGCTGAACTGACGGTATAAAAATCTGTAAAAAAAAAAAAGCAGTAGTGTGGGTGCTTCAAGAAGAAAAATCGTGTGTGCTGACACCATCCCCTGTTGTTCTTGGGATGCTGGAAGAATAGATAGTCTCCCTTCGAGGATTGTGCTACGAACTTTACCTGTCAGCTTTGCAACCCGAGTACCTTGGACTGGTGAGATCCCAAGTGCCCTCTCTCTCTTTTCTCTCTAGGCATAAATTTCTGAACCTGAACCATATTAGTTAAGCTTGAGCTAAGTTTCCCCAAATACTTAGTGAAACCAGGGTAATATGGTAATTGTTTGTGTTTGTTTTTCCTTTGCATGTCTACTAGTACCATTATATATTTCATATACTTAGCAATAAATAACTTTTATAGTCAAACTGGTAGTAAATGGGTATATTTTTCCTTCTCTACTCCTCCTTCCTCCCGTGCTCTGCAGCAACACTTCTTTTACCTAAGCTAAAGATCCCTGCGAAGCCCAAAAATACTGTGGGGTCTGCTTATCAAGAGGCCAAAGATTGAGACGTGCTGAGTTTGAAACACATAAGGGGATCAGCTTGTACAGGCTGATTCACCCAGTTTGACTCAGACATGCCCTTATGAACTGAATGCTAGCCCATGAGGCTGTCAGCTGGACACCCAGTCGGATTCAGAGGGATTCTGTTTACCTGTGTGCTTGTGTCTGACTGCAGTTTATTGTTGCTCTGATGAACTGATTCTTGGCATATGAGGGTGTCAGTCTGTCCATGCTGATCAACCCACCTGGGTCAGGCGTGTCACGTTAATCTGTGTGTGTTTGTGTGTATGACTGATTTGGTGACTGGAGGAACCCAGCCCCATTGAAACTGAGTCCTGCAAGATAGCTTCATTGCGGGGGTGAGGACTTGCAGAAGGGAGTTATGTTCTTTTCAAGGAATAGTCTTCTAGTTCAATATGTACTTTTATTTTTTAAATGTTAAT